TTCTAGCTCTCTAGCTCTCTCCCTTCTTCCTCTCTGTAAAATATCAATAAAATATATATATTTTTTTAAAATGTTGAAAATCGCTTATCTAGTCCAATCCATCCCCATGTCCTGCCATTTCTACCCCCAAAAATAGGCCTGGAACTTCCCTTCATCTCCATCTTCACCATCTGGCCCAGGCCTCCATCCTCTCTCACCTGAGCCAGCTGACATCCTGGTATCCACTTTGTCCCCTCTACTCTGCCCTCCCCCCAGCAACCACACTGATTTTTTAAAAATATATTTTATTGATTTTTTTTACAGAGAGGAAGGGAGAGGGATAGAGAGTTTGAAACATCTATGAAAGAGAAACATCAATCAGCTGCCTCCTGCACACTCCCTACTAGGGATGTGCCTGCAACCAAGGTACATGTCCTTGACCGGAATCGAACCTGGTACCCTTGAGTCTGCAGGCTGATGTTCTATCCACTGAGTCAAACCGGTTAGGGCCACAGTGATTTTTTTTTACAATGCAACTCATGTTCCTCACTGCCTACACTCCTTTAATAATTTCCCAATTCACTTAATATTAACCCACAAAGCTTAACACAGTTTACAAGACCCTGTGTGATCCTTTCCTTGCTTACCTCACTGCCTGCAACCCCTCCCCCTTCCCCACCCATCCCCCTCCCAACCTTAGCCATCAGCCTTCATCAGCAATTGGCGATGATGCTGTTTCTCAGAAAGGCCATGTGAAGCACTTAACACATAGGGCTTCGCTTCTAGTAGGCACTCAGTAACCGTCAGCCGTCATTATCCTGCCTCTGGGCCTTCAAGTGCTGTTCCTGTTTGGGGCGCTCTTCCTGGTACTCCTCTGACTAACTCCTGCCCCTCCGTCAAGTCTCTATTACTTTTCTGTTGCTGCATAGCAAATTAACCACAAACTAAGTGGCTTAAAACAACACCAATGAATATTCTCACAGTCTCCAAGGATCAGGAGTCTGGCACTTTACACCTAGGTCCTCTGCTCAGGATCTCACAAAGGCTGAAATTAAGACCAGCTACATCCTCATCTGAAGGCTCCACTAGGGCGAGAGCCACTTCTAAGGTCACTTAGGTTGTTAGCAGGATTTAGTTCCTTGTGGTTGTAGGACTGGAGCGCCATCATGGTCTTGGTAGCTGTTAGCCTGGGGCCATCCTCAGCAGCTAGTGGCCTCTCTCAGGCCCTCGCGTGTGGTTTCCTCCATTACTCTCTCACAGCACGGCCGTTTATTTACCTCTTCGAGGCCAGCAGCAGAATTTTTCTCAGGCTTCAAATCTCTTCCTTCGTTCAGTAAGGACCCTTTGAACCGGCCCGCCCAGAGTAATCTCTCTTTTGATTAACTCAAAGCAACTGATTGGAGGCCTTAATTACGCCTGCACGGTCCTTTCACCTCTGTCATAAACCTAATCGCAGCAGTGAAATCTCATGTTCGCAGTCCCACCCACACCAAGTCAGGGGAGATAATATAGGAGAGCATGACCTGTATGGCCTGGGAATGCTGAGGACCCTTGCAGAATTCTGTCTGCCATGAGGTCTCATTCTAAAATCACTTCCTCAGGGACCTTCTTTCATATAACACCGTAGGTTTCTCTCATGGCACCTACCACAGATTGTAACTGTAAACTTATCTGTATTATTGTTTCTGTGATGCACTTTTCGCTTGTTTGATTCTCTCCCCTGAGCCCTGGGAGCTCATGAGGACAAGGACTTTGTCTTGTTCATCAGGGTTCCCCATAACCAGTAGAGCAGTTGGCAATAATAACTCACTGAATGGCTGGGACCGGTTTGGCTCAGTGGATATAGCGTCGGCCTGCGGACTGAAAGGTCCCGGGTTCGATTCCGGTCAGGGGCATGTACCTTGGTTGCGGGCACATCCCCAGTGGGGGGTGTGCAAGAGGCAGCTGGTCGATGTTTCTCTCTCATCGACGTTTCTAACTCTCTGTCCCTCTCAATTCCTCTCTGTGTAAAATCAATAAAAATATATTAAAATAATAATAATAACTCACTGAATGAATGAAGGATGAAGAGATGTATAAATCAAGACAGGGATTAACCTCCGCACACATTTAACAGAAACGGGAAGGGGTGTGGCACCAGGTCCTGTGATTCCTGTTCTATCCTTTTTAATCTCACTTCATCCTCATTGTTACTTTTACCCTGTTTCCCTGAAAATAAGACAGTGTCTTATATTAATTTTTTCTCCCAAAGTTGCGCTAGGTCTTATTTTCAGGGGATGTCTTATCTTTCCATGCACTAGGTCTTATTTTCGGAGGATGTCTTATTTTCGGGGAAACACAGTAATAGCCTTGTTTTACGGAAGGGGGAGGGGGCGGGGCTTTAGACTTTCTTGCTCTAAATCAGTGGTCAGCAAACTCATTAGTCAGCAGAGCCAAATATCAACAGTACAACGATTGAAATTTCTTTTGAGAGCCGAAACCTGACGTCTGTGTGTGGGCCACGAAGTTTCAATCGCCCTGTACCTGAGCGCCCGCACATGGTGTTTTGTGGAAGAGCCACACTCAAGTGGCCAAAGAGCCACATGTGGCTCGAGAGCCGCAGTTTGCCGACCACTCCTCTAAATCCTGTGGCAAGTAACTAAAAGACCCAGGATTCAAACCCAAGATTGTCCTCAGTATAAATATTGAGAATCTTCTTTGGATTCAAAAGATTTGGTTGGAGAATTGGATCTGCCACAACTTACTGGACCTGTGAACTGGCACGGGTCACTTCAGCGCTGAGACTATTTGCTTGTGAAATGGGTGTGGTCGTACGTACTGAAAAATGGTTGGCAGGAGCAAGATAATGTGTATAAAGTTGTTTAAACTAGCAGGTGGTCGGTAAACAGAGCCAGTGGTTCTCACAGGCCAAAGGGCCACCGCGACTGAAGTGATAGGCCTGTTTGGTTGGACCAGGGGGGGTCAGGTGGGTACGAGGGAAGGGAACCCAGAAAGAGAAGCCTGTGAACGGGAGGGTGTCTGGCGGACCTGCTTGGTGTGACCCTACAAATAAAAATGCGAAGTTGGCCAAAACCAGTTTGGCTCAGTGAATAGAGCATCGGCCTGTGGACTGAAGGGTCCCAGGTTCGATTCCAGTCAGGGGCATGTACCTTGGTTGTGGGCACATCCCCAGCAGGGGGTGTGCAAGAGGCAGCTGGTAGATGATTCTTGTCAATGTTTCTAACTTTCTATCCCTCACTCTTCCTCTCTGTAAAAAAATCAATAAAATATGTTTGTTTGTTTTTAATGTGAAGTTGCAGAGATTTACATGGAAGCCAGTCTGGAGGGGACCATTTGCTAACGAGAGCTGTCCATCAACTAGCCTCCCTCATTACTGCCCTGGGAGTTCCTGGGACAGGTGGGGGCAGGTCCTTCAAAAGCTTAGGGAGGCCCTGGCAGAGAAGGCGTGAGCTCTGAGTCCTCCAGAGGCCAGGGCCTCCACTACTCTTTGCCTCTGCTTCTCAGGATTCTCATCACCACAGGAGGGACTCACTGGGAAAGGGGTGGAGCCGGCAGGAGAGCTGAAAGGCCAGGCCATCCATAGGGATACAAATCTCCCCCTCCCATCAGTGTCCTATGTTCCACCGTGGATTCACCACATGCGTCTCCTTAGCACCCTCTCCTATTCCTCTCTTAAAAGGGACTCTACCGCCCTAACGGGTTTGGCTCAGTGAATAGAGCTTTGGCTTGTGGATTGAACGGTCCCAGGTTTGATTCTGGTCAAGGGCATGTACCTTGGTTGCGGGCACATCCCCAGTGGGGGGTGTGCAGGAGGCAGCTGATCGATGTTTCTTTCCCATCAATGTTCCTGACTCTCTCCCTTCCTCTCTGTAAAAAATCAATAAAATATATTTTTTTAAAAGGGACTCTACCACCTGCCTTTAGCCCACTGAGTCAATGTTGGTGAAACACTCATCAGCTCTTCCTCTGACCCAAAAGAGCCCAGGGCCCTACTTGAGGTTAAGTCAGAGAAATGGAGTTGACCTGGGAGAGGAGGTGCTCAGAACCACCTGCTGCCCTGCCCGGTGATGGTCACCCGGGAGCTGGAATGCTCGCAGGATGACGGAGCTGGACGAGACCTCAGGGTTCTTCTTTGCCACACCCAGTTTGGCCAAGAGAAAACCAAGAGCCCAGGGAGAGAGAGGATTTGCCTAAAGTCACACAGCTGCTTAAGAAGCAGCTAGAGCCCTAGCCAGTTTGACTCAATGGATAGAACATCAGCCTGCGGACTGAAAGATCCCAGGTTCGATTTCCGTCAAGGGCATGTACCTTGGTTGCGGGCACATCCACAGTAGGGGGTGTGCAGGAGGCAGCTGATCAATGTTTCTTTCTCATTGATATTTCCTTTTTTGTTTGTTTAATATATTCTATTGATTTTTTTTTTACAGAGAGGAAGGGAGAAGGATAGAGAGCTAGAAACATCGATGAAAGAGAAACATTGATCAGCTGCCTCCTGCATACTTCCTACTGGGTTGTGCCCGCAACAAATGTATTGTACATGCCCTTGACCGGAATCGAACCTGGGGGAGCCTTCAGTATGCAGACCAAAGCTCTATCCACTGAGCCAAACCGGTTAGGGCTCATCGATGTTTCTAACTCTCTATCCCTCTTTCTTCCTCTCTATAAAATATCTTTTAAAAAAAAAAAGCAGCTGGAGCCCGTCTCTGTTTCTCTTCCCTGACTTTGATGCTCCATTGGCTTTCCTCTCTGAGAAGCAGAAGAGGCCTTGGGCAGGGGAGTGAAGCCATTTCCCTCTGGGCCTCTGTTTCTCCCTCTGTTAAATGGGAATAACTATACTTCCCTGCCAACACCACCACGTGTTTATGGAGCTCTGGTGAGTAAATACAGGGGAAATGGCCTCAATGGCAAAATACTTACCCGGTGACAATAGGACCCCAGATTGGAGGCGACTGTGAGGGGTGTGAGGGTGGGCAGGGCAGATGGGCCCAGAAGATGTGTGTTCACCTTGTCATCCTCCCCAGGTGAGTCCCAGGCCTGGGTTGCCATGGATACCATGTCCCTAGAGCATCAGATCCAGAGCGTGCAACGCCACATCAGTTTCCTGAAAAAGGAGCAGATGGCCCTGCTGCGAGACCTGCACCTGGAGATCCTGCGGCTGCAGAAACGCTGCTCAGGTGCGACCAGGAGGGGTGGCTGCAGGCGGGGGGCAGGGAGGAGGGCAACAGTCATCAGCACAATCATTGTCTCTGATGGGGTGTCCACTGTGAGCCCCAAAAGCTTCAGAACAGTCCTCCTGCCAGTGATGTGCATCACCCGTTTTTCTCAATGAAGAAAGTGAGTCTTCATGGTAACGGGGTTCTCAGTCGGTAGCAGAGGGAAACCTGGGAACCATTCCTGGGAGTTTCCTGTCCCTTTTTTTTTTTTTTTTAATTATTTTCTTTTTTAAAAAATATATATTTTATTGATTTTGTACAGAGAGGAAGAGAGAGAGATAGAGAGTTAGAAACATCGATGAAAGAGAGTCATCAATCAGCTGCCTCTTGCACACCACCTACAGGGGCTATGCCTGCAACCAAGGTACATGCCCTTGACAGGAATCGAACCCGGGACCTTGAAGTCCCCAAGCCGACGCTCTATCCATTGAGCCAAACTGGTTTTGGCTCCTGTCCCTTTCTAATAAGTCTTCATCAAGCACCTTCCAGCCCCAAGAAAACCTCAGTTTAATTGGGGACACACACATACACACACAGACACACACACACACACACACACAGTATTGAGATAACAGAAAATAAAGAGGGCTGCTGAAGCCGGTTTGGCTCAGTGGACAGAGCGTCGGCCTGCAGACTGAAAGGTCCCAGGTTCAATTCCGGTCAAGGGCATGTACCTGGGTTGCAGGCACATCCCCAGTAGGAGGTGTGCAAGAGGCAGCTGATCAATGATTCTCTCTCATTGATGTTTCTAACTCTCTATCCCTCTCTCTTCCTCTCTGTAAAAAATCAATACAATATAAAAATAAAATAAAATAGGACAAACTTAAAAAAAATAACAGAAAATAAAGAGGGCTGATGGGAGTTCTTTGGCAGGACCATGTCCAGCTTGAGGTGGGTGTGATAAAGGAGGAGACGAGCATCCCGGGCCCCCAGAGAAAGGAAGCATTTCCACTCCCACAGGCTGAGGAAGACGTGTATATGCTGAGCTGTTACCGGGGCAGAGCGGGGAGGGAGCACTCCAGATGAAGGGAACAGCGTGGCACACTCCTACATAAGACCCCACACGCTTCAGAAGCGTTCTATTCCATGGATGCAGCTGAGCTTAAAGAGGGGCCTGGTAAGAAGGAGGGCTGGAGCCGGGTCACGGGGGATCTTGACAAACACAGCGGAGAAGTTCGGCCTGTCCTCCTGCGTGGTGGGAGTCGCTGAAGGTTTGGGGCAGCATCACGCTGCATGACGAAACTCAGTGTGGGAGAAGCACTGGTGAGAGAGGGGCCCAGGGAGACCAGCGACGGGGCTGATGAAATGGTCCCGAGGAGAGAGGAAGGGGGAACGGAAGGGAAGGGCCCGTGGGAAGCAGATGGAAGGAAGGGAGTTGGCAACAGATTGGGTTTGAGAGCAGGACAGAGGGAAGCACTGAGGACAAAGCTGAACCCCGGGCCTGACCTCCTGCCTGGCCCTCACCCAGGCCTGGCTCTGCCCCAAGTGCTCACCCAAGCGGAGTCTCCAAGCCCTGGCTTCAGAGCCAGTGACCCACAGGATGTCTCAGCTGAAACAGCCCAACCTCCTCAGAGTACAAGCAGTTTAACTGAGGCCCAAAGAGCGAGAGAAAGAGACAGACAGACAGACAGACAGACACAATATGCTAATGGCAGAGCTAGGAATAGAACCCAGATCTCTAGACTTTCCATCCTTCTTGCCTCTACAGCTTTCCTCTTATTCTTTCCCCAAGATGGCCAGACTCCTATCACTCCTCCAGGCCCGCTCATGGGAGGTTCTCCATTCCCTGGAGGGAAACTGAGGCCCAGAGCCACCTGGCTGGCTTCTCACTTTGTCAGGAAAAGCGGGTAGTCCTGACGCTCCGCCCCCACAGCCTCCTCCCCCTCCATGTGCCTGGGTCCAAGGCCAGGCTCCCTGCAGTCTCCTCCAAAGCCTGCATGGCAGCAGCAGTGCCAGCCCCACATGGACTCACCCCTGCCTGATGCCCCTTCCCGTTGCAATGGCATTAAAGGAAAATTGAGATGAGCGAATCCTCAGACCCTACAGCTCCTCCTCTAGTTCCTTTTTGTTTTGCCCTCATTCTGAAGACCTGGGTCCTTCCACTCAGGACACAGGCCAGGATCCAAGAAAGTATAACAGGCAGGAACAGAGTGCCCTCAGCCCCCATCATCCTTCTCAGATGGGTGTGGGCCCGCAGCCTCTAGGTTATTGATTAAGGAGATAAAAATAACTGAGCTGGCCTGGGGCAGCCACTCTGGGGGCTGAAATGACTGACTAAGGGCCTCCTCCAAGGGGTGGGGGAGTGAGGAGAAGAGAACAGAACAAAAGAGATTTTTTGTTTGTTCGTTTTTTTGTTTTTTGTTTTTGTTTAAGAAGATTCTAGAGCCAGCCTGTCAAACTCAGGCCGGCAGGCCGTATGCCTCTTTAGGCCGAGAGTTTGACAATCTTGCTCTAGAGCCGTGGTCAGTAAACTACATGCAGCTCTTTGGCCCCTTGAGTGTGGCTCTTCCACAAAACACCACGGCCTGGGCGAGTCTATTTTGAAGAAGTGGCGTTAGAAGTTTAAGTTTTAAAAAATTGGCTCTCAAAAGAAATTTCAGTCGTTGTACTGTTGATATTTGGCTCTGTTGACTACTGATTTTGCCGACCACTGTTCTAGAGGACACGGAAGGGGATGGGCGATGGAGGGGCCAGGGTAGGCACCAAGGAGGCAGAGTACGGGGAGAGCCTGCCAAAAAGAGATGAAGACACAGAACGAAGGCCTTGAGGGGGGATGAGTGTGTTTTAGGTGGCAGGGCAGCGGGACAAGAACGGGAACTATTCCTGTGTATTCAATCCTCTGTTTCTCTCCATCCCAGCACCAGCCCCTGTGAGGCAGGAGCAATTTTGTCCCCGTTTTGCAGATGAGAAAACTGAGCCTCAGAAAGGTGTCGTCACTGGCCCAGGGTCACAGTGTATCTGACCTCACAGCGTGCTCATCTACACGGAGGGAACTCTGACCAGAAGATGATCAGGGAGAGTTGATGGATGGGGACACGGGGCCCGGCTGAGACTCATCTCCTCTTCCCCAATTCCCGTGGTTAAGGGCCGAGGAGAAACCAGTCCACCGGGAGATAGCAGCGTCGCCAAAATCCCTGGGCTGTCCCTGAGCCTCCTCCAGGCTCCCCTGAGCTACAGCGCAGGGCCCCTGGAGGAGGAAGCCCTGCGGATGGAGCATCAGAGTCCTTCCAGGGGCCCCAGGGAGGAGGTTCAGGCTCAGGTCATAGCGAAAAGCCCAGGCACCCCAGCTCTCTGTCTCCTAGCAACAGCTGGCGTCCCCGGGGAAGGCGCCTCCAGCAAAGCCCCTGATTCTCTAGGAGAGTTGGGTGAGGGCAGAGAGGAGAGGCAGCTCAGGGCCCACACGGCTGTCTCTGTAGGGGATGTCCCAGAGATGCGTTACCTCCTCCCACCCCAGGTTCACAGGTACACAAAGGTGCTCCTGAGCAGGTGCCCTCCCATAGGCAGCTGTAGCTCCCCAGTGTCCCTGTCCCAGCTCCTGGGGGAGTCGGGGAGGTGGGATGGGGCTAGAAAAATGATCAAACTCAGCTGGCTGAGGGATATAACCTTCTGGGGTGTAAGGAACGGGGCTGGGGAGACAGCCAGGTAGAGAGGTGTGGCTGGGCTGCCAGCCGGTGCCCAGGAGGAGACTGCCCCTGCACTAGCGCCCTTGGCGGGCTCCTTGGCTGCGCCACCCCTTCAGGGCCGAGCCACACATGTGGTTCCAAGTGCCCTGCATGCCTTTCATCACCAGGTGGCGCTGTCCTCCTTGAAGCCCCTCTCTCTGCCTGGCAGAAAGGGGCTGGGAAAGGGGCGGGGCTCATGTTCAAAAAATAATAACATTGGCCCAGCAGTACCGGCTGTGAAAACAGAGAAACATGTGTCCTCTTGGTAAATTGCCGCTGCCTTGAATCCCCCTCCAGTGGCACCGAGCAGCCCAGCCAGTGCACTCAGCCTTCCTGGATCCACCAACTAAACACTAAAGAGTCTGTGCCCGGAAACTCTTTCCCCCTCCCCACACGGGAGTCTGTGCTTGTTTCTCAATAAATTTCCACCATTGCTACTTAAAAAACAAACCAGCCACACGTCTGTACCCTCTGCAGTGGCCGTGGTGGAGGATGGGGGGCCTTCAGACCAGCTCTGGTGGGTGGCGTGTTCAATATTTGTGCATCACCCGTGGGAAGAAGCAAATCCTTCCCCAGCCCCAGAGCAGCCAGGCTCCTCCATCCCACCGGGTTCAACTACCTCCCAAATCTAAGCCACAAAGCCTGCGCTGGACCTAGAACGAGGCAGATCAGGCTCGGTGCCTCTCTTCACCTCTTCCCGGTGGGGCTGTAGCACAGTGGGCCTGGCGTGTGATTTGGATCCTTATTGCCACTTTTACTGAGCTGTGATTCCCTGATATCTCTCTCTCTCTCTCTCTCTCTCTCTCTCACACACACACACACACACACACACAGAGAAACAAACAAACAAACAAACAAAAAAAAATTGCCTTTTCTTTTCTCTCCCCCCAGAACTGACCCGTGACCTGGAGATGAGAGAGGCCCAATCTCACCAGCAAGGTAAGAGAAGGATGGCTGGTGGGGAGGTGCCATGGGGGCCCAACAGGTCACCTTTCCCCCCCTCTCAGTAGGACCCAAGCCTTCCGTGTCCCGGTCCAGGCTTGGTGAGCATAGGCCAGGATGTCAGCCCCATGTGTGCGGTGAACAGCCTGCACCGCCATACACAGTGCCCTGTAGCCGAGTTCCCGGCCAAAGTAGGAAAATGAAGCAGGGAGGAGGAGGAGGAGGAGAAGGAGGTGGTGTCCAGGAGGTCCACCTGGCTGAATTAACTCCTCTCTGTGACCTCCCTCCCCAATCCTTCCCATCCGTGCACAAATGATTCCCATGGTCACAGTCCGAATCCTCTAAGATGATGTCAAGATGCAACACGATGACACTATGGGGTCCTTGACTCTAAAGAACTGAGTCTGGAAGAGAAAGCTGACACAAGCACATTAGCAAATCCATCATTTTACCATTCCCCAGCCCCAAATATTTCCCCACTAAAAGACTTTTTTACGGGTTGTTAGTTCACCCATTAAATGGCAGGTGCGGTGGGGAGATAGTATTCATGGGGTATAGAGTTTCAGTTCCGCAAGATAAAAAAAGTCCTAGACGTCCTAGCTGGTTTGGCTCAGTGGATAGAGCGTCAGCCTGCAGACGGAAGGGTCCCAGGTTCGATTCTAGCCAAGGGCACACGCCTGAGTTGCATGCTCCCCCCTGGTTTGGGGGGAGGGGTGCAGGAGGCAGCTGATCGGTGATTCTCTCTCATCATTGATGTTCCTATCACTCTCTCCCTCTCCCTTCCTCTCTGAAATCAATAAAAAAATATTTTTTTAGGTTCTAGAGATCTGTATACTTAACAATACTGAAATGTACACTTAGAAATGGTAAAAAGTTTATGTTGTTATTTTTACCAGAAATAAAACTTTTTTCTTTTTTTTTTAATGGAAGAGGCCTAGCCGGTATGGCTCTGTGGTTGAATGTTGACCTCTGAACCAGGCCACAGTTGAACGTGGTCAGGGCACAGGCCGGGTTTCTGGCTCCATCCCCAGTAGGGGGTGTGATGGAGGCAGCTAATCATTCTGCCTCAATAATTCTCATCATTGAAGTTTCTATCTTTCTCCCCCTTCCTCTTTTAAATCAATAAAAATATTTTTAAGAAAAAAAAATGGAAGGGGTCGCATTGTTGAGATCTTAAGCACCTGAGTATACGATCTCTGAGAATTAGGACTGGATGGTACCTGTTGTCTCAAAGTACAAAACACATGACCTGACATGGACAGGGATTCCATAAATGCTTAACTAAAAATGAATCACAAAAATAGTCTTTCTCACTGAAACCAGTTTGGCTGAGTGATAGAGCGTCGGTCTGCGGACTGAAAGGTCCCAGGTTTGATTCCGGTCAAGGGCATGTACATTGGTTGTGGGCACATCCCCCATGGGGGGTGTGCAAGAGGCAGCTGATCAATGATTCTCTCTCATCGATGTTTCTAACTCTCTATCCCTCTCTCTTCCTCTCTGTAAAAAGTCAATAAAATATATTTTTTAAAAAACAAACCCACATTCCCAAGCATGTGCCCTGACTGGGAATCGAACCGTGACCTCCTGATTCATAGGTCGATGCTAAACCACTGAGCCACCCAGGCTGGGTTATGATGTTTTCTTATCCACCCTAGTCCCTGTGCCTGACACAGCGCACGCACATAGGAAAGGCTCCGCGAATACTTGTGGGGTAGATAAGTGAATAAGGAGAGTTTTGCATTTAAAAAGAGAATAAGAGGGGAGAGCAAGCCGAGGGCAGGATAGGCGCCAAGGCCTAAGGAAGGAAAAGGAAGCCCCCACTCCCACCCCCGCCCCCGAGCACAGCTGGGTACAAAGCTGGGTGCTGGGTACATAGCTGGGGAGTCGCAGGGCTTGGTCCGGAGGATGTCTGCACCCTCACCTCCCTCTCTCCCTTTCCCAGAGGAGGCGTCCCGGGAGCTGGAGCGCCGGTGCCGCGCGCTGGAGGCGCAGTTGGCGGCGCGGGCGGCGGCCAACGCGGAGCTGCGGCGGGAGGTGGCGCAGCGGGAGGCGCTGGCGGCGGCGCTGCGCTGCGGGCTGCGCGCCGAGGAGCGCCGCTTCCTGGAGGAGCTGCGCCGCCGCAGCCACCGCGCCGCCGTGCTGGGCGCCGAGCTGCAGAGGCACAGCGAGGCGGCCGCGCACCTGTCCGGCCAGCTGCACGCGGCGCGCCAGAGACTGCAGGCCCCGCGCCCCGGGCCCGCCGCCGAGCCCCGGTCCCGCCGGCGCGCACAGCGGGCTCGCCGCCCGCCCGCCGAGGCCGCCGCCAAGGGCCCCGGCCGGGACTGGGCCGCCTGGGACCGCGCGGCCCGCGCCCTGGACGCCGCCGAGCCCATGCCCGACCCCGCGCTCTTCCTCTGCGCGCGGAGGCCCCCGCGGCCCGGCGGCCGCAGCCCGCGCCCGCCGCCGCCGCTGGAGCCCCCGGACCGAGCCTGCCCGCCCGCCGCGCCCGCTGCGCCCGGGGCCCCGGAGTAGGCGCGGGGCTGGCGGGGCGGCGGGGAGGGAGGGAGCCCCCCCTTCCCGGCTGGAAACGCGGCCCGGCCTTGCAGACAGGTCCGGGGGGAGGAGGGGAAAGGCGAGGAAGCGGGTCCTATTCCAGAGATCCATCTGAGGCAGCCCCGCTCCCCTTCCCTTCCCGCCGCCCCGCCTTTTGTATTTCCCCACGTTTTCAAAGCTTCGAGCTCTCCCCTCCCGCCAAGGAGCCCCTCCGCGGGGCTCAGCGAGCGCGCCTTCTCTCTACGGGACTCGCAATACTGCTCCCATCTGGTCCCCACCCTGCCCCTGGGAGGGGAGGGGAGAGGGGAGGGGGTCACCCCATCCCTGAAAGCTGACAATCGTTTGGGCCCGGGGAAAGGCTGGGCTGGTCTATGGAAAGGAACCCAGTGGCCCTTACCGCCCCTCTGCCTTCCAGCTCCACCCTCCCCAGCCCCGCACGTGCCCTTCCCTCCCAGCCTTCCCTCTAGGAGAGGCTGGAGTTGGGGGGCGGGGGGGGGGGAGGTGCGCGACTGGCTGGACCTTTTCCTCGGAGCCCCTTCTCCCCACCCCGCTGACAGGTCCGTCCAGGTTAGCACCTAACACTTTAGATTTCCTGGTGGAAGACACCGCCTCCCAGAGCCTGGTTGGGAGGTGGGGGGGGGGGGGGGTGAGCATGGCCCATGGAAGTTGGGACTCCTGGCAGGCAGCACCCACAGACCCTCAGAGAGGACTGGGGTGGGTTTGGCGGCAGAGCCACCTGCGGGACTTGGACGGGGAGCTGTGCTGGGGAAGTGAGGGGCAGCCAGGCCGATGGAGGGGCAGAAACTGCCTTCAGGAGGTAGCTGGGACCTGAGGCGCCCTGGGCCCCGGGAGGTTCCGGGTCCTGTCTATTGGTGCTAATTTCCCCAGCTTCCTGGCAGTGGCCGTTGATAGAGGTTTGGGTTCGCTGGGGAGGACGTCCCCAGCCAGGCCCCTCCAGGGAGGCCCCCAGTGCGGTCAGACCTGGCGGTGGTGTGTTGCTCAGGGTCCTCTGTCTAGGGGGTGGGGGTGGCACGATAGAGAGTGGCATGCCCCACCTGCTCCCGGCCTTTCTCTGCTGCCCGCTCTCAAGGCCAAGGGCAGTTTCCAGCCCCCTCGTTGCCCTCGCCCCAAGCCCAGCCTAGAAAGAAACATCTCTAGAGTGTCCCCCCCCCGCCCCCCACGACCCCAAGCCATCCTTCCTCTGTCATGGGCCCTGCATGGAGTCCTAAGTGCCTGTGAGGTCTTCCAGGGACTGCAGAGGGAGGACACGTGGCAGGGAGAGGCGTTGGCCTCCCTCGCAGACACCCCGTCCTGGCAGATCCTGACCTGGCTGAGGCCACATTGTGTGTGTGAACCAAGGGGCCATGCGGGAGCAGAGCCAGTCTCTAGGGGAGAAGCATGCTTCCGCCACCCCGGGCCCCTCGGAGAAGAGGAAATCCCCACATACCCTCTTTCGCTGCGCCTTGGAGGGAGTGGCAGATCGGCCGGAAGCAGAGCCCCCCGAGCACACTCCCAGCCCGCACGGACGCAGCCCCCTCCCCAGCCCGTCGCACTGGGGACTGCTGAGACCCCTGAGCAGTAACCAGCCTGGTCTAGGCGTCCGGCCGCTGGGATGCAGAGGCCGAGGTGTGGGCGTCCCAGTGCTCTCTCGTCTCACTCGGGCCACGGCAGTGGCCTAGGGTCCTTGCTCTGCCTGCCCTTGACCCTCCCCTGCCAGCCTCTGTGCTTGTGCCTCTGCCCTCTGTGACTCCCCTCGAGTGTGTGTAACTCGATGTTCCCTCATTCTGTCACCTCCCTTTCACAGGGAGACTGAAGGAGGCCCCTCCTCTCCCAGCTGCACCCACTTGAAGGAGCCAGAGGCCTGTGGAGGGGAGGGAAAGGGTGCCTTCCTCTCAGCCTCCATCTTCCACAACCACACTTTGGGGCGAACAGGGTGATGTTGTTGTGTCGATGCTTCTACAGAGACGGTGAAATACTCGGTCCACCCACCCACGAAAAGCCATAGTTCCCCCACTTTGCCTCCCCGCCCCCCAGCTCTATAGCAATAGCCCTCTTCCCCCTTCCCTCCTGAACCCAAGGTGTCTGTCTATCTGGGGACCCCTATCCAACCCCCACCCCGGGGATCCTCAGGTGACCTGCCTGCCTCTCCCCAAGGGACCCCCGTCAGCAACTCCCCACTCCTGTCCCTCTCCTAACAAGCAGGAATAATGACACTTAATTGTCTGTGGGGGTGCTCGGAGATCCCCCAGATGAAAGGTTCTGAGTGCTGGGGCGGCTGACTCAACGCTCGGCCTGGGAAAGGAAGTAAGACAACCCTTCCCACTCCACTCAGCAAGCTGGAGGAGGGGCCGAGGCAGACACCGGGTTCCCATTTTAACTGGTTCCCCTTTCCCCTCCCTCTCCTGGGCTGGAGACTTCCCTCCACAACTCTGCCCTGCTCTGGGTTTGGGACAAAACCCGCCGGGCAGCAGAATGGGACTAGAACCAGCGGCCTGCCCTTGGCCTCAAGGCGCCAGAGCCCAGCCTGGGAGGCCCCGCCCTCAGCTTCCGGCCCACCCCATCCTCTAGCCTGGGGGGCCCACCCGCCAGAGGAAGATCCCCTCCCGCCAGCCCCTGGAAAGCTTAGGTGACTGGAAGGGAAAGGATGGTGTCTTCTCCCCTCTTCGCCGCCCAGGGCCCCCATTAGGGGAGGGGCGTGTTGACATGGGCAGTCAGAGTCCCTGTTGGAGCTCCAGCCGCTCCCCAAGTGTGGAGGGGCCCAGGAAGGAGGACTGCAATATGAGGATCTGTACCCTGCCTCCCCCGTCCTACCCACAGTGGCCTGCAGTTTGGGGAATCAGTCTAAGACTGAAAGGGAGTGAGCCTTCCCCAAATCAGCAGAGGCAGGAGGCAGGGGTGTGGAGTAGCACCCCAGTGCAGAGAGGGGGGGGTCTCTCAGCCCTGGTCGTTGAGGTGCCAGCCTTGAGTGGGGGACGGGCAGGGCGGGGGGGGGAAGCTTCCTGCTCCAAATTCTCTGTTGGCTGTGCTTTTTAACCCAATGCTTTTCAGAGTGTATTCACTCACCCTCAGAAATGGAGCCCTGTGCTTTAGGGGTGACTGTCATATGCCTTATTCTTAATAAAATATCTGAAAAACACATAAGCCAGACCTTTTCTCTGTGGGCACCCCACCCTGTTCCCTCTGGTTTGGGAGTCAGCCGGGGGGCTGGGGGGGGGGCGGGTAATGGATGAGACTGGGAGCTGAGACTTGAGAATCCCCTCAGTAGATATTTCTCTCTTCTTTTAATATATATTTTTATTGATTTCAGAGAGGAAGGGGGAAAGAGAAAGAGGCATCAATGATGTGAGAGGATCACTGATCAGCTGCCTCCTGCACACCCCAGGATTGAGCCCGCACACCCAGGCATGTGCCCTGACTGGGAATTGAGCCGTGACCTCCTGGTTCATAGGTTGACGCTCAACCACTGAGCCACACTGGCCGGGCTCAGTAGATATTTCTTTTCTTTTTTAATATTTTATTTATTTTTTACAGAGAGGAAGGGAGAGAGAGAGCTAGAAACGTCTATGAGAGAGAAACATCGACCAGCTGCCTTTTGCACACCCCCCACCGGGGATGTGCCCGCAACCAACGTACATGCCCTTGACCAGAATCGAACCGGGGACCTTTCAGTCTGCAGACCGATGCTCTACCACTGAGCCAAACCGGTTTCGGCTCAGTAGATATTTCTTACATAAGGCAGAGGGCACTCCTCTGAGTTGTCCCAATGCTCGACTAGCCCTGTCCCTCTCTCCATGCCACCCCAATTCGAATGAATCAATGAGACCTTAGGTCAGAGGCTCCTGGCTAGGGCTGGGAAGGATGGGTTGGAAGCGCTCCATGCCTGAAATGGACCATCATCCTGGTATTCTGGCATCTTGGGCCATGCTGATCCCCTCCCCTGACACCATCCCCGCCTGATCCAGCTGCAAGAAGCCAGCCTCCCAGGGAAGAGCCCCGTTCTTACCCTCCACTCATGACGGTTACCCCGGGGCTGCAGCTTGACAGCTTAGCACACCCAACACCCACGAGAATTCAAGCCTGTACATTTCAGCGTAGGCCTGTTGTGGGAGGCTCTAGAACAGCAATTTTCAACCGCTGTGTCACAGCAGGCACACTGGTGGGCCACAAGAGTTTTTAAAACGGTGCAAATACCTGACTATTTAGCTAGGGGCACTGACCTCTTTTCCCTTATCAAAAACAAAAGTGATTGTCAAATTAAGGAATGATACCATTAAAAAAAAAAATGACAACAGCCAACACAGTGTGAATGAATCAAAATCATAACTATTTTTTGTCAAATCAGCAAAAAAAAAAAGTATCACGTGGTGTGCTGCAGCAGTTTAGTGATTTGCTTATTTTTGAGCTGAGATGAAAAGGGTGGGGAATCACTGCTCTAGGAGAAAGGGCAGCAGCTCTGCCTGCTAAGGCTGCAGGGGCCCCATGGTTCTGCCTGTGAGCCTTCTGGAAGCGGGACACATTGCTTCCTTTTGGGTGCCTGCCCTTCGCCCATCTCAGTCTGTGTGTTGGGGGTGGGGAGTGTTATGGAGCGAGTCCCCAAGAGATGGACCACCGGAGCCAATTTGATTAAGCATGCTAGAATTTATTACAGATTCGAATCTGGACTCAAACCTTGGCTGACGCAGCAGCCGGCAAACACCCAGGTGAGAGCCCCGATGGAGGGGCAGTCCCTCCAGAGCGCTCACACAAAAACAGACAAACACACACCTACCGTGGCCAGTCAGGCTCTCCGGACTGGGGTCCCTCATGGTCCTGGCTGGGGATTCCAGTCATGATCCCCAAGGACCACCAGGGAGCCGAGTCCAATGCAATAAACAAAAGAGCCATCTCCATGCTAGCATGGGCTGTCCCACTCACGCCGGCAGCATGGCGGAAGAGAGCGAATTTCGCCCAGTCCAGGGGTTTTACTCAGGTCAGTGATGTCACTGCCTCAGCTAACCCTGATTGGCCCCTTAGGACAAAGAACTGGCCATCCTTATCTGTTCCTAAATCCTAAAGACTAAATTCTAAAGACTGGGGGGCAGCCCGCAGGGTTGGTTCCCAGTCACACCCTGCTAGACATTGGAACGTGGCCCTATCTTGCCCATAATACAAAAGCAGAACTAAAGATTATCTATAGTTTCTAACCCTGAAGCTACTGAGTCAGTGGGAGTCAATCTCCTGTAACTACCCTATTGTTTCGAAGGTCGAAGTCAGATAGCAAGGTTAAAATTCAAACGGCAGTTTTTACCCAAGTATGATTGCTACCATATTTCAGGGAGGGCTGATCCCACACAGGTGACTGGAGTAAGGCAGGTCACAGTGATTGGGCTGGAGAAGGGCAGTTGACTCCCTCCGAGCCAATGAGCATTAATCCAAAATGGAAGAAGAGCCGAAACCAGTTTGGCTCAGTGGATAGAGCGCCCAGCCTGCGGACTCAAGAGTCACGTGT